TTGCCGCTGTGCTGATGCAGTGGAAGCGACATCCACGTGTCAATTGGCGAGTGAAGAGTTGTGCAACTTGGCTGTCCACTGTGCAGCGGGCGCGCGTAAGCTGCCTCAAATTGTAGGCACGTATCTTGACAACGACCACGGCATGGCGAATTAGGCACTTGTTATGTGGAAGCAACGACAATCAATGACACAGTGACTGACACGGCTCAAGTCAGAGGACTGTTTTGTGGGAGGTGCGCTTCAGATTGACAACGGTCAGTGTGATTATCACATGCCACGTGTTGAGGAAACAGCCGCTGCCCCCAAGGGCAGCAAGAGCAACGCTGCGCAAAATTGTGCAGCTTGCCCCCGGTCAGGTGCCTTGCGCAGTCGCGGCTGCCCTCTCGAGCGCGCTGCTGCGCGGATTTGCCGCGAGGCCGGCGCACGCGTCACAAAAAAAAAAAAAAAACCTTGTACGCCGCATCGAAGTCATTGCTAACGGCTTGCCCCTGTGGAACGGAGCCCATGTCGCCCCTCACGCGTGATGCCGTTCCGCGCTCCCGCCATGACTTGGCGCGGCCCGTTGCTTTGTTTGACGCGCGGCGTCAGAAGGAGAGGACCGGTGCCGCCTGGTCATCCTTGGGGTCGAGGTTGGTGGCTGATGGAGCTCCGCGACTGCCGCCTTCTTGCGGGCCAGAGACACCCCTGCGACCTTGTGTGTTGCCTACAAGGCCGCCCTGGTCCACCGCTGGTCTGGCTTCTTGACTGCTGCCGCCATGCAGGCCTTTGCTGCCAGCTTGTTTGCCTTGCCTTCCGCTGGCTTGTCTTGCCTGGACGGCCCTGCCCCCGCTTTCAGTGACGTGCTTGCCGACCGCACTGGCCCCGTTCTTGAGGTGCTCGCCAGCCGGCTTTCCGCGCACGCCTTGACGTGATTACCCCTGGTGCCCGGGGGCCCCCTTTCAAGCAGGGTTTTTGAGGGGGACCGACTGATGCAGCAGTAAAGGAGATGAACATTTGTGGAAGGTGGAAAGGCATGCAAGAAGGGCGTGGAGAGATTCATCATAAGCGCGGGAGGGCGCACCGAGGACCACGAGTTCCCGGCCTGCTCAACGCCAGAGGCAGTCCAAACCCGCGTTTGCCGCGATGGAGTTGGACGTGGGCATGTTGGCCCAATTGCAAAGACAAGAGAAAACGTGCCGAACGCTGTGGTGTGACGATGACATAGCTGTCATCCAGGTAGGGCCGAGTCCATGTTCCTCGCCGCCATAGCTTGCAACTGTGTTCACTTTGGGCATTCGAGGCTTCTGTGTCCTTACACCCCTACACCGTTCTCGGCAATTTGGAAGTTATATCCGAAGTTTCCTGCAACGGACGTGGGGTAGTTGGCCTTCACTACTACGTACAAGGCTTACCTTCCTTCCCGACAATTACAAACATAAGTTCGTTGCGATTGACTGTGACAAGAGCAGGCAAACCACCCCGAAAACAAACGAAATTGCATCGGGCAAGCTCATGAGGCTCTTTGCTTTTGTCTATTAGATATTTCAAAGTTTTGATCTCTTCCTTGTTTGGTCTGCGAACCCTGAAGCAAAACTCGAAGGCTCTTTGCCTTTTCTCCTTTCTTTTTGTTCTTTTTCTATTCTTCTCCTTTGCAGAGTCGCCTGCCCCTTACTCCTAGAGGGCCCAGTGGATGATCCGTGATGGCATCCCTGCTTTCTGGCACTTGCCGCGCCTTGCATGCTTGCATGGGGGAGCTGGCCTCCAGAGCAACAGCCTTTTTTTCCGCAGGGGGGGAGGGGCAAAACCCTGGGCGCACGGACCACCGACGAGTTGGGTGCGAGAGGAGAACAAAGTTCGCCCTGTGCCCAAGCACCGGTGTGCACTCGAGCGCACGCAGTGGGCCCCACTGAAAGCGGAGCTGCCGGCGCGTATTGTTGGCAAGTACCGCCACGGGAAACGCCCATGCATCTCCAGCATCTGCCAACCTCAAATGCAAGCAACGGGTGGCGCCAGCCACACGACCCCAGGCGTTGGCCGGGTTGGGGCAAGGGTGGTGTCGACTGCCAGCTGCCGCCCTCCTACGAAGGAGGGCACGTGGTGTCCGGATGAATTGAGGTTCATGTGTACTTTATGGTTTAACAACACTACCGCTTACACAAAGCCAGCTGGACAGATTAGACGCTGCTCAGCGTCGCATGTTGCGATCTATTGTGGGATGGGTCCGTATTGAGGGTGAAGACTGGCGTGACACAATGCACAGAATGAAATTACGACTGCAACACGCGCTGGCGATGCATCCTTTGAGGCCATGGACGCAGCAACTATTTACCCGGCAATACAGGTTTGCTTCCAAGATATCTCGTCGAGATGATGCTTGGCCATGGGCAGTCGTTACATGGATTCCAGGTGATGGTTGGACCCATAATTTCCTGAGAGCGCCAAGAAGGAAACTAGGCCGCCCGCCGAAAAGGTGGGACGATAATTTGAGGACATTTGCACTTGAACATTTGCAAGGCAGGACGTGGATGGTGGCAGCTCGGTCAAGGCAATGGCTTGACAACGAGCATCTTTTTTCAGCATTTGCAGAGTCAGGACACAAAATGACAGCTGAAAATGGAAGGCGCAATGCGTTCTAGAACGTGTGTCATCATATGCGCTGTGTTGTTGCACTACCTATTGTAGAGACGATTCTCCATTCGCAGTCCGCGCTCTCGCCAACCTTTGTCTGTCCGCCCTGCGCTGATCTTGCTCCGCCTGCGCCTCCCTCCTCGGCGTCCTCCAGCGTAGAGCCACCCGAAAGAGCAGGCAGCCACACACGCCTGCTCACTTTTTTTTTTTTTTGCCTTTGCCCCGTTCGAGTCAGGAGACTACGGTCCATGAAGGACACAGGGAACACACGAGGCAGTCATGTAGCTTGGCAAAACTGTACAAGTCAAGTGCCCGACTTGGCGGCCTCCGTCCTTCGCTTGCTGCAGGCCCCCGGCCCGGTGCCTGCCCGAAGCTGTCATGCCCTCCTGCTTGCGCAGGCCCAACTTGCCGAGGCGGGGTTTGCTGGGCCCTCGCGGGAGGCGCTCCTGCAGCCCGAGCCGATCCCCCACCTTCTGCTCACGCTTTGGACCACGCTGCCCCACCCGGGTGGCAGTCCCCCGCCGCCAAGGCCGTCTCCCGGCAGCTTCAAGATGAGGCTTCTCAGGCACTTTTGTTTTCGCAAACTGGCCCCTACAGCAGTGTTCACCAGCCTGCCGAGCTGCCCGGAGCTTGCCTACTCTCCTCCGCTGTTCCGCGTGCTTTTGTTGCGGCGCTTGCGCCTGCCTTTGCCCTTTACCGCCCGCAGCTGCCGGTGCGATCACCTTCTCGACCCTCTTGGCGACCATCGTGCAGCTTGCCCCCGGTCAGGTGCCTTGCGCAGTCGTGGCTGCCCTCTCGAGCGCGCTGCTGCGCGGATTTGCCGCGAGGCCGGCGCACGCGTCACAACCAACACCATTGTGCGCGATTTGAATGCCCCTGTCGACCGCCTGGACGACAGGCGCATCGAAGTCATTTTTTTAGTCATTGCTAACAGCTTGCCCCTGTGGAACGGTGCAGTCGACACGACCATCGTGTCGCCGCTCACGCGCGATGCCGTTCCGCGCTCGCGCCGTGACTTGGCGCGGCCCGTTGCTTTGCTTGACGCGCGGCGTCAGAAGGAGCGGACCTACCCCGAGCTCCTCTGGTCCTCCGGGTGCCGCCTGGTCGTCCTTGGGGTCGAGGTTGGTGGCCGATGGAGCTCCGAGACTGCCGACTTCTTGCGGCAGCTTGCCCGGGCCAAAGCCAGAGACACCCCTGCGACCTTGCGTGTTGCCTACCAGGCCGCCCTGGTCCACCGCTGGTCTGGCTTCTTGACTGCTGCCACCATGCAGGCCTTTGCTGCCAGCTAGCCAGCCTTGCCTTCGCTGGCTTGTTTTGCCTGGGCGGCCCTGCGCCCGCTTTCAGTGACGTGCTTGCCGACCGCACCGGCCCCGTTCTTGAGGTGCTCGCCAGCCGGCTTTCCGCGCACGCTTAGCCTAGCCTCCCGCGTGGGGAGGCCTTGACGTGATTACCCCTGGTGCCCGGGGGCCCCCTTTCAAGCAGGGTTTTTGAGGGGGACCGACTGGTGCAGCAGTAGAAAGGCGTGCGGAAAAAAACAAATTAATAGCACCAGTATAAGAGTGCAGGGTGTTGGCAAGAAAACATGAAGCAACAATCCCAGCCAATGTTAATCAGCCTCTCCACCCTTGTAGATGCCATGTCTAGTTCTTTGCTTCCGTTCGGAATCTCTATGAATCTCGTTGCACGCGCTTCGAATGCCGTGCCTGAACTGCATTTGTAGGACGACGTGGGAATGCACGCGGGGAAAGCAGCGGTGGGAACAAGAGCGGGACTGCGAAACACAACAGCGATACAAAGCTTCATGTCATATGGACTCGGAGAAACACACCGCATGTTTCAGTCGCCTCCATTCTTGACAGGGGTGGGCACCAGCGCCACGCAAGCAGGCAAGGAATTTCCATTGCCAATCGCCATTTCGGCCCAGTGCACATATGCTGCTGCAGTTTTGGTTGCATTCGGTTGCCGCTGCATTTTTTCCGTGTTCTCAATGCAACGCGGCTGGGGTTGGCGAAGCGCAGAATTTGGTCAAGGGATGAGAAGCAACTTGCGTGGCATCCACGAGCGTAGTGTGTGCATTTGGAAATCACACTTGCCATTGATTTCCCCCATGAGTCATATGCATGGCGCTATTTGCCGGCTACTTACTTATGATGGTGCTCTTGTCGGTTGAGCTTTTGTGTTTGGTTTGGTCAATCTTTCTGGTCTGAGGACAGAAGGCTGCTGGCATACTTTGATGATGGAGGCTTTGGGTCTGGCACGTTCCATGACCGCATCGTGGATTACCAGCAGGACGTGCGCGCACGCGTTTCATGCCCAAGTTGCCTGTCTCACGTTCTTGCTTGGCCGCGTTTCCCTTCTTGGTTCACAGATCGTCGAAAGCCAGAGGCAGAGCCATGGCGCAGCACGGGTTTGAGGTGCGGAATGAAACGGCCAAAGTAGCTTTCATTACCGATTGCGAGGGCAACTTCGAGTATTGGATGAGATGTGTGGAAATGAGCAGCGTGGTTTGCTGGGATTCCGGCAAGTTGGAGTTTGCGAACTCTTCTGATACTTTTGTGTTTGGTGGCGATGTGTTTGACAAGGGCACCGGAGACTTGCGAATTGCTCAGCAGCTTGTGCACTTCAAGCAGCGTTACCCAGAGCGCGTGCACTTGCTGGCGGGCAACCGCGACGTCAACAAATTGAGGCTTCCAGCTGAGCTAGCAGCACCTCGAATCAGTCAGATGCATCTTGTGCAACATTTTGGTAGTGTCGCAGTTGTGCTGGATGTTTCGGGGCTTAACACTGACCTGGCCTATGAATTTTGAGCAGAATGACTAGCAACTAACCAGCTATCAATGCATGCCAATTTTCCCTCAAACAATATGGCTCCACCATGCTCCACCCCCCAAGATAGAACGAAGGGACGCAAATCTCCGAAAGTTCGGGCGTCAACATCCCACCGGCGAGCCCAGGAGGGAGACATTGACGTGCCGCAGCCGGTGCCCGCATACCGAGGTGCCCCTCCCCCAGTTGCCTTCAGGAGTTTTCTCGAGGCGCAACAGCAACGTGAGGCACGTGGTCCAAAACTCTTACCCTGTTTCCAACAACCATGGAAGTGGACAGGGGGGTCCCCTAGAAGGAAAGTTGTCATCCAAAACCCTCCTGTCAGCTTCCATGAATGTTGGAGGGAGGGCTTCCATCGCAAATAGACAAATGAGTAAGACAAGCCCACAGCACCGGCCATGCCACCTCAGGGAGCTGAGTCACTGGAAGCAGTCAACACGAGGGCAGCACGTTTGCGGTGGATTCTGGACCATACTATGACTGCACCCGGGGCTTTCGAACATAGACGCCAAGAGCTTGCATTGTTGGGAAGTGTGCCGGCAGAAAGCATTGCAGATGACGATGTGGTGCAGAGCTTTCTTTCCTCCGTTCAAGATGGTGGCTTGGTGTGGGAATACCTTTGTCACAGCTGCTTGATGGTTGTGATTGGCCCTTGGCTCTTTGTGCATGGTGGAATTCCAAAAGCTGGTATAGGATGGGTTCCCACGCAGGACATGCGCTTTTTGCTGCCTAAAGAAGGTGGTAGCGTGGGCGCTTACCTCAAACTAGGCTGCAGCCTTTCGGAATGGGTTGCGGCAACAAATCTTCGGTTCAAGGACGGGCTGGAGGACTTCCGATCCCAAATGCTCTGGCGTGCAGACAGGAGCCGCGGGGGAGAATCCCTGCTGTGCTTGACGAACTTGCCCTCGTGCCTGGGGCGCTCCGTCATGGTGCACTCCTTGTTGGAAGGGGGCATGCCGACGATGCCAGAGAGTGACGTGGAGGAGTTCTTAAGGCAAGGCGGGGTCAAAGCCGTTTTCTGTGGCCACAAGCCATGTGGAGATTCTCCGTTTGTGGTGCATGGATCGCAGACAAGTTTCATCCATTGCGACACCACATACAGCGATTCCACAGCGCCAGACCGTCGCGGCCGGTCTGTCGCATCGGTGGAGGCATTTGTGATGGTGCAGGAAGTTCGATTTCGAGGCGTGCTAGCGGATGGTCGGCAATACGACTTCATGCTGTTTGGAGGCCCGAATGCCGATGAGTTGGTCGGTCGTAGGATCGATGGAGTTTGGGTAAAGGCTCGTTTGCTGGACGGAAGCTATCATGTTGTTTCTGGAGATGGCGCGCGGCGCCTATCATATGCAACTAGGACAGAATCTGAAATTCGGAGCAGCATGTAGCGAAGATGTAGGCGTTTTATTGGAGCAGATGTCTCCCGGCGGAGTTTGCTTGCCAACATTCTTTGCAAGTATCTGCAAGAAAGCAAAAAGGAGCTGTGCCACAAGCCAGCTGGATGCAGAACATGAGTTTCTTGCGGGCTTGCCACAAATGAGCCCAGGACCTTTGCGAGATAGAGCGGCTGGCGGCTTAGTCGCTAGATGGACTTGAGATGCCACTCGATCGATGAGCCAGGGAGCTGTTCAAGTACCAGCACGTGCTGGGCATTCACCGTGTCAGGGTGAAGGCAGATTCAGGAACCCGGCATGGCTCTGAGCATATCCCAGCATAGAAGTTCTCAGTATTTTCTGGGGGTTGGGTTTAATTTCGGGTTTGTCAGGAAACGCATGCACGGACGCAACCGCAAACATGAGAACACAACCGCGCATGTGCAAATACACATGACATGAGCACAAGCGCACACATACACACACACACACACATTCTCACGGACAAACATAAACACGCGCACAGGCAAACACACATATAAACAAGCAAACACAAACGCGCACAAAACACCTAAAACCCCTCCTATATTTTGTTTTTCTAAAATGGCAATAGGTGTTATTGCCCGAAGATCCTAGCCTGTCCTGCAGACCAAAATTGTTTACTTTATACACCACTCCATCTATCTCAACATAATTTATGTCGAATTGCTTCACAGTAAATTCTTAATTTTGTCCAGATATAGTACATATCATGTTTCAGGCTGGAACTATGCCAACTAACTTGCCCATCTTATTTACAACAGTTACAACCTCCAGTTCATATTTTTCAAATAGGTATGACACGTAATCTAATTTTGTATTCGTTCGAGCTGTTTTTAATTCTTGTCCGGGCAGTTCTACAATAGGTTTATGATCATTTTCCGACATTATAGAGCATGGGTTAATCTTTTTATCTGAGATAAATCCAAAATACTAGGCAAAGTAATATCAACTTTAGTTTGTTTGATTTGGGCGGTAATGTGATCTTTGATAAAACCTTCATCAAATACACAAGTATGCAATTCTTGATTGCAGGCATTTATAGGTGATGTATTCGAGTTTTGCATTTTCATTGCCATGTTTTTTAGTAACTGTTACTTTTTTTTTTGACCAGACAGTTTCACTTATTTGTCCGCTCAAAATAGATCTTAGTTCTGTCTCTTCCTCTAATTGCATGTTGAACTTTTGCTTTATAGATTCTAATTCAGCAACCTTTGGAGATCTGACATATACTTTAGCATCTACTCCCAACGGTGTGTATGTTTTTTCCTTTTTTTTTCTTCTTCTTTTTTTATTCTTTTTTTCCTCACTAAACATCTATATTTACCTTTGAATAATCTAAGTAGCATACTTTATAGAGCACTGGCACATAAAAACCAAGAGCCACACACACACACAGACACAAGCACAACACGCGCATACAGGCACACACACACACACATTGCACACACATACGCAGACCCGCGCAGTCACAGACAGACACAGACAGTTTGTGTCCGCAATTGTGCTCTTTGCCCGATAAGAAAGGAGCACACGCCCACAGACTTGGACTTGGGTTTCGTGACGTTGACGCGACTCCGACTTGTCAGCGCCTCATCCCGTGAACATTTTCCCTTCACTGGCGGAATTCCATGGATGCTCATGGAATTGCATGGTCCCACTTCTTGGATCTAGCGAGTTAGGCACGCAGCGAATGAGACACACACGACTTCAGCTGGGCCATCCCCTTGTAGTAAAACGAAGTAAACCCTCACTCAGTGGGTGGGTGGGTGGGTGGGTGGGTGGGTGGGTGGGTGGGTGGGTGGGTGGGTGGGTGGGTGGTGGGTGGGTGGGTGGGTGGGGGTGGGTGGGTGGGTGGGTGGGTGGGTGGGTGGGTGGTGGGTGGGTGGTGGGTGGGTGTGTGGGTGTGGGTGGGTGGGTGGGTGGGGTGGGTGGTGGGTGGGTGGGTGGGTGGGTGGGTGGGTGGGTGGGTGGGTGGGTGGGGGTGGGTGGGTGGGTGGGTGGGTGGGTGGGTGGGTGGGTGGGTGGGTGGGTGGGTGGGTGGGTGGGTGGGTGGGTGGGTGGGTGGGTGGGTGGGTGGGTGGGTGGGTGGGTGGGTGGGTGGGTGGGTGGGTGGGTGGGTGGGTGGGTGGGTGGGTGGGTGGGTGGGTGGGTGGGTGGGTGGGTGGGTGGGTGGTGGTGGTGGTTGTTGGTGGTGGTGGTGGTGGTCGTCGTGCTAGTAGTTTGTAGGACTGGTTGTGGTCGAAGCGACTCTGCAGGACTTGGAACTAATGTTGATTCCACCTGAACCCGGTGAGTCTCCAGCATACCGTTTTCAGCTATCGACAAGTGATCAAGAGTCTCAAGTTGCATGTGGGCGTTTGGCGTTTGGCGGCTGCTTTTGTGTTTTTGCCTTGGCATAGCTGGAATTGATCAAGGGCAGATTGTTGCAGCCGCGGTCAATGTGATGAGTGGAAGTTGAAACAGCACGGCTCTGCGCGGCATCATTTTGTGTGACGGCGCTTTTGTCAAGATCGCGCCACTGGACAGACCAACCGGTTAATATTTGACTGACTTAGAGCAGCCTCCTCTTGTGCAGGCCCGGGATAGACGAAGCTGGTTCGCGCAGCACCAGCAGCCGCTTGCGGTGCACGACTTACCGCGGGCCCCCGCGCTGGTGGACGGGCCGCTGCCGCGCGAGCCGCTCTTGGAGCCGGGAGCCTCGCCTGCGAAGATTTTGGTCGACTTCGATCCGATGCCTTGCCCAAGGCACACGCACACCGTCACGCAGCACCGGCCCGGGCACGAGGTGGGGGGGGACACGTTGGCAGCTGCAGGTTGTTTTTGAGCAGTTTTTGTCTTTTTTGGTCGTGCCAGGCGCGAGTTCGTGATGTACGTCGAAAAGAGTTGGCGGACGCTGCCGAGCCGTGTGCCTAGGTTAGAGCTCCACCCGAGGGCGGATACTGTAACTGGGGTCAGTATTTTGACCGTTTCTAGGGGCTATCAAAGTCAGACCATGGAATCGGTTGTTTCCCTTCACCCCACCACTTGGGGGGTGACTTTGATCATGATATAGTGAAGGGTATCACGAGGCGAGTGCAAATTAGCTTCAACTTCGAGCGCGCTCCGCTCCAAGCTGCAGCCTTCGTTTCGAGGCCGCACCTGTCGGAGTCCAGCCTGACAGAGCCAGCCGCTGCCCCAGGCTCAAGCGGCAAAGGACATGATGCATCCTTACTGGAAGGACGTTTCTATCAGTCCATTGAGTCCATTGCCCCATCTGAGTGCCGAGGCTGAAAAGCGCCGCGGGACCGGAAGACTGTCAGGGTGGGAAGTGGGTTTTGAATGCAAGATGCTTGGTTTGGCCCATGGGAAAAAGAGCCTGCCAGTTTTCAATTGGTTCTGCGCATCGCCGTGATGCCCACAAGCGCTTTGAACGATCTCGGGTGTGCCATGCGCTTGCTTTTGCCACCCGCTTCCTTTCCTGGAAGGCTCAGAGCAGACGGAGGCAGAGGGCACTCAGCTATCCGCATTTTACCGCACTTGGCATGATGTGGCCATGGGTCAAGATCCCGTACCCCCAGTGAACATCCCAATCCCCACTAAAATAGACTAAAATGGGTGGTGCACCTATCCCAACATGGTGACATTGGTTTTGAACCATGGCATTCATGTGGTGGATGGTTGCGCGGTTGCCTAGCTTGTGCCCTTCACTCTTCTTTCTCTCGAGGAAGTGCTGGAGGACATGTGGAAAGCCGACAGTCGCTTACGCCATGCCGCCTGTTTGGGAGCCACTTCGTTCTTGTTTGCGTAGGCTAACGCTTTTGAGTGAGGGCCCGCTTGCAAGGAAATGTTGCAGGCGGTCATTCTGTGAGCATGTCGTTGTGGATAAGACCTTGCAATTGTCCTGTGGTTTTGAGCTTTGTCCTGCCCGCTCACCTCCGAAGCCTTTGAGTGCTCGTTTGTCCCCTGTCTCCTTGCCATCGGGAGGCATCGATGGGTTTGCTTGGCCAGGGGTGCAAGCAACTACGTAACTACAGATGAGAGAGAGAAAGAGAGTCATGTCGTGTAATGGTGATCATGCCTGCGACGCACTGCCGATGCTTGAAACAAGCGTTCAGCGAGGCCATGCAAGCGGGGACTCAGGTTGCGCCTGGGCGCCCGTCGCTTGTTCGCAACCTGAGGAATGTATTCCTTATTTTCTTCGCCTGCAGCTGGGGTTGCCCGGATATTTCAGAAGTTTTTACGCCACATCCCTGGAAGCCACATGATGCAAGGTCTTGCACAATGGACAGGCATGACCTCTCTGCCAAGGCCGCAAGTCCGAATGGCCGGACGCTGGGCTGGACTTTGAGAATTTCTGCTTGCACATGCATGCCAGACTGGATGGCTAAAGGTGCCATGAGAAAGCCTGGGGAGCTTTGTTTTTTGAAATCACTTTAGCTGTTTTTATGTTGGATTTTCCTCTTTTTGGACTCGCCACCATGCAAATAACTCACGATTCCCAAGAAAACATGGTTTCATCCGGTAATTTTTGGAATTCACACCTTTCAAATAGACATTCTCAGAGGCCTGGTGTTTTTGTTTTTTAGATTCACGTCTGGCGCCGGAAACAAGGCTTCGTCGAGGAAAGCAGCACCAGGGAGGGGTCTACCCCGAGGGCGAAGCCTTCCCCCCCTCCCTCCCCCCTTGCTGACTGACCCGGCCTTACCCCAAACCACCGCCTGCCCCCTTAGTTAAGCGGGGGAACAAGAAGCACCGGAGCCGACAGCCAAGGGCAGGCCTACTCACCCTATTCAGCCCCTCAGCAGCCTGGTAGCAGACCCTGGGTCATGCGCCCGGTCTATGCGCCAAGGCTGGATGACCT